ACAACATTTATTAAAATATGAGCTCTTGGTTACAGGACCAAACCTTTTGACCTCCCTGTATCTCACAATACCACCAGTGTGTTCTGTCTGGCTGGAATTGTAATCAGTTAAAAAGTGCAAATAAAAAGATAATGACCAAATCTATAGAGCAAGCACAGCTCTAGTTATTAAACACTAAAAAACAAACATGCCTTTAAAGAGTAAAAAAAGTTTAATAAACTTTGCCATACCTTTAAAAAAAACACTCTTATTAATTCAGTTATTGCATATTATTGATTTTCTACCATTTTTGTAGTTTTTTTTCCAGTGTAAACAACATCAGGGACACAATGAATTACAGAACTGTAATTGTTGTTTCTCGTGATACATTTCAGGCAGTGACAAAAAGCAGCACACTTTGTCACCAAGACAGGTATTACTTATGGCTTCAAGGTCACAGCTTATGCACTGGCTTCTTGTTATTTCATTAACAGCTTGGTAGAAAACAGTGTAAATTGTTATGACAAGTGGAATTTCTCTTCTTAAAAAAACATCATCAAATCATTTGATGAGTTAAGGCTTGTTAGACTGTTATTGGCAGGTAAACCCTGAATGACTCATTTCCTTACAAAAACGTGCCATGTTAGATTTTGAGGTACAGGTTTCAGCTCTGCATGTTGACTGAATTTTCGATTAGGTGTGCCTTTCAGAAAGCAAATGAGTAATGCACCTCGACAACAGCGATCAATAACTCTTTCTAACAGTATTTGTTATATTGCAGACAGGGGTGGAAGTCGGAGAAAGCTCCTGTTTTTCTTGATGGATAGGTCCATAGCATAAAAGAATTGCATTGCTTCCTGGTGGTATACACTCTGTAAAAACATTAAAAATAAGATATTAGGATGGATATATCAGTAAACATATTTTAGTAAGGCAGAATAGTCAGTTAATTACTTGGATTGATAATCAAGCCATTATTTATGAAAAAAACTAAAGTGAAATCTTACATTTGTCTTCTGGCAAAGCATCAAATTCTAAAAACTCCTCTTCTTCATCAGCCTCCTGTGGGTCCTCTGCACCATGGTTCTCCTCTTCATCTGCTGTTTCCTGCTGTTCATCCTCTGCTTCTGACACTTCTTCCTCTACATCTGGTTGTTCTGCCTCAAGCACTGCCTTCCAAAGCTGCTCCTCTTCTCCAGATGGTACGTGTTCTTCTGACTTCTCCCTTTCATCGTCTTCCGACTCCTCTTTCTCCAACACAGTCTCATCCTCATCTCTTGCTTTGAGACTCTCATCTTGGACTGTTGAGTCGTCCTCACCTTTCTCTCTTTCAGGTGCCTCCTCTTCATCACCTTTCCGGTTCTCCTCTTCAGGCATCTGCTCTTCAGCATTGTGTCCCTCCTCTTCTGTCAGTGTTGTGTGTCCCTTCTCTTCTTCTGATACAGTAACAGACTTCTCTTGTTTTGCATCATCTTCCTCTACTGCCTCTGCCTGCTGTGTAGGAACAGTTTCTTCTGTCGCAGACTCCTCCTTTTCAACAGGAGCTGTATCTTGTGTATTTAGTTCTTCTGGCTCATCAGACTCTGCCTCTTCTTCCTCTTGGGTGGATGTAACTTTTTCATCAGCTGTAGGAAGAGTCTCTTCTTCTTCTGATTCAGCTGGTGCAGCTACCTCTTCCTCTCCAGCTGCTATGGGTGTCTCTTCTTCAGTGTCTATGTCTTCTACTTTTTCAGTTCCTAAGGCTTCTTCTTCTTCTTCTTCCTCCTCCTCCTCCTCCTCCTCCTCTTCTTCTTCTTCTTCTTCTTCTTCTTCTTCTTCTTCTTCTTCTTCTTCTTCTTCTTCTTCTTCTTCTTCTTCTTCTTTGTCAGTTTCTACATTTTCTACTTTTTCTTCACTGCCCAAGGCTTCTTTTTCAGTTTCTACAGTTTCTACTCTTTTTTCAGTTTCTACAAGTGTCTCCTCTTCTTTTTCTTCACTTCCTGCAGCTTCCTCTTCCTCTTTGGTTTCCGCCTCTTCTTCAGTTGTAGGAACTGTTTCTCCCTCTGTCTTTTCCAAAGGCTTGGTCTCAGGTTTAGTTTCTGCCACAGACTAAGATAAGCAAAGTCATATCAAATAACTGGAGCAAAATATTTACTATTCAGCTATGTAGGCATCTAGGTATCTCAGTGAATGTGATGTGATTAACTGACATACAAAACAGGAAACTGCACCACACGAATGTAAATGCTGATATAAATCCACTGGGGAGTCCATGCCAGGCAATTAGCTTCTTCAAATTAATGTGATGAAAATGTTATAATGGTTCCCAATGGGCACACTGTGAACGGAAATAGTAAAGAGGCCATGTGTGCTGACAGCATGTGTGTTAAGCCATGTCAAGCATGTTCTGCCATTGAAATGTAATCTAATTAAATGCGATAGCTTAAAAATGTTCTTTCAGTACTTATTTAATAACTAATAAATCTAACATATAGTCCTGGATATCTGATTGTATTCCAAGTTGTTATTTATTTTCCTTTTAGAGATAAATCTGGTCTAGTCTGGTTAATCTGATTCTAATGACTGATTTATTTAGAGAGCTATTAGGCCATATTTTGCTTACCTAATCATGAGTTCTCAGGTTCTTGTGGCAGGTTTAAAAAAGTTTAAGAATCATGTAAATATCACATGTCACATGCAGCTGTACCATATGAATAAACATCAACAAACTTAACGTAAAAATATTATTAGACGGACTGAATAAAGCAAAACAAAATGATGATTTAATAGATTTAACTGTTAGGACTAAAAGGGTTGTGCTTAACATACAAATATCAAAATTAGATAAAATATTACATCAGCAAGGGCACTCACATTTGATTTGTTTATTTGCTATTTAACATTAATTTGACCTGACTGCTAAGATCATGATTTGCTACCTTTTTCCATTTTATTTTTTTCCATTTTGCATTTAATTAATAAGATCACCCAATGGGCTTCTTTGTTATTACGGGCTGCTAAGTTCTGATCCCCCAGACTGTGACGTACCACATTAAGCTCCTGTACTCTGGCCTGATGAAGCCGCTGCGACTGCTCATGTTCAAACAACTCTCTGAAAGACAGAAGACAGAATAAATTTCTCTTATGATCTTGTGGTCATTATTTTGTACCTTCATGAAGCTTTACTCACAAAACATGCCGATAGTTTTATTACAACACTTCTATTTCAAAACTCAAATGACAATAATAGCATGTGAGCCACGTTCTCTTGATGGTTATGTAAGCTTCAAAGACTTAAATTTTAAGCAAACATTTCAGCTTTAAAACTTATGAATACAAAAGAAATATTTACATAGATCATGGCAAACTCACAGTGTGATAAAGAGGCCTACCAACTCTGATCTAGAGTAACACAGAGCTGCAGACAGTGGCAGCCAACAGGGCTTTGGCAAAGACAACATAAAATCATGGGTGAGAGGAGGCAAGTTATTTCCTCCACTGCTCTTTTTCCCACTCCACCACCTACCTGACAGTAGTCATTTCGACCACGCTAGCCTTCAACTGAGTCTGGTAGGCGTCTAGCTGCTCCTTCAGTCTAAGCATCACAGCAGCCTGTCTATCCAGGGCGGCACTCACTGTGGCAATCTCTACAACTTTCTCCTCCAGCTTAGATTCTGCTTCTTCCAGGCTGCCTGTCAAGATGTCGACCTTCTGGGCTAGCTCACCAGTCAGAGTGGCTAAAACCTCCACCTTCATTTTAACATCTTCAAACTCCTCACTCTTTCCTTTCAACATGGTCTGCAGCTGGCTCAGTTGCTCCAGAGACACTGTGGCTTGTTGCATCTCTGCCAGGCGGGTTTTCATCTCTGTGTGGAGTGACAGCACCTGAGCGGGGAGGTCTGATGTCTTGAGCTGTTCGGCTGTAGCTAAGGCCATACCCACCTGCTTCTGGGCCAGTGAATAGGACTCCTCAAGGGCATTAAGTCGGGCCTCCACGTTGTCCGAAATATGCTGCTGCAACAAGACACAGGAATGACACAGAGTCAAGCTAAGGGACTATTATCCTCACTTATTTTTATGATTGATAGACTCTTAACTGTCACTGGACAACAATTATGTTTTTCGGGAAAATATTTTGTTACTATTAAAGGGACGGAAACACCAAGGACAGTTTTTTTTTTTAATTTTCTTTTGCCTTTATTTGCATTGCATTGTTTGCTTAAATTCTGTATAATATAGTATAATATAATATAACACATGCTTGGAGGAAGGAAATATGTAGCCACACCAAAATCTCATCATTAACAGGCCTGATCATGAACAAGCCATTTAGGAAATCTCACTTAATGTCAGATCTTTGATTTATTTGCAGTTATGCTAAAACTGTCTTTTTTGCATTATTTATAACCTTTTCTGGATTCTTCATTAAGCTTTCTCCTTACAACATCCTGAAGCATTTCACATTTGTGAGCGACAGAACAATTTACCACTCATACAGAAAATATTTGCCCAACAAGACTGAGCTAGCTGAAATGTTCTTGTGCAAAGTTTCTGCAACCCTGACTTTTCCGAATAGAAGAAATACTTAAGGGAAGGAAATACAGATATACTTAATACTTCTTGGAATACCATAAATTGAATTTGAAACACATGGAAGAAGACTAAAATACTGAACATGGCAGTCATGAACTACTATTTACTGTGATATAACAGGTTAATTTCATTCATGGTAATGTGTTTAACTATAAATATAATTATCTCTTACATAAAGTGTGTCCTTTCAGATATATAGACAGACACACACAACATCACTCTCTCTGCTTTTCTACAGTCTTTCAGATTGCCTGCAAAGAGCCTCTGAACTGGTGTTCAGTATCAAAATCACAGACTAAATTTAGCCTTGGCTCATTACTGCCTTGTTTATTATTATTTTGGCAGCATCTTCAGCACAGCTTTGGGGGCATATTCTTGACTGGTATTACAATACAGAATTTTCCACAGAACCTAGAGACTAAAAGAGATCTATTTTACATTTGAGTCATTGGTACAGACAGTGTCTCTGCATTTGTAGGTCAAGAATATGGTTCCTCATTACAAACGTCAGCAGCTGTGTGGATGTTAGAAATAGCAGCGTTTTGTACTCACTCCAGTGAGGCTGTTGGCATGTAGAAATCTGATAGAGGCCTGCAGCTAACTTTCCTTACTTGCAACTGACAACATGTGCTGGAGCATTTTCTTATTTGATTTTTTCTGTGTGTGTGTGTGTGTGTGTGTGTGTGTGTACAGAGATTTTTTTTATTCTAATCTTGTGAAAATATGATTCACAAGATTGGTTGTTCATTATAGATATTGGCTATCAATAAGTGCATCTGGTGCTTTTGGTGGCTTGCAGATTTAGGTGACTGGATACATTCTTACCTTGTTGCCAGACTGTCGCATTTCTTCCTGGGAGGATTGTAGTTTCCCTATCTTCATCTGTATGCCCATGAGATTGTCTGTTAAGTAGGTTAAAGTTTGGTACTGCTGGAAACAGAACCACACTCCGGTGGCACCTCCAATCACAAAAATCAGAAATAAAACCAATAGAAGTGTGTAGTTATTCCCTCCAGGGCGAACTTCTGTCTCCATAACTTCATTTTTGAATATGTTATCTTCATGTTTGTGGTTGTTTTTCGCTTTCCGGTGCTTGGCTGTCATTGCGCTAAAAAGGACACAACGTCCTAATCAGGTAGTGAGGTGATATTCAAGGACCCGGTGAGTAAGCACGCTTGGGCCGTGGTGTGAGCAGTGATTTACTTCGGATGGATCCTTTAAGTTGCGTGGTGCACCGATCGGCCCGGGTTAATCACTCCACAATAAAGCTGCAGCGGGTCGTTGGTGAAGCAGTAGTGAGGGAGGTGTGAGAGGGAGGCGTGAACAGTAGGTAGCGTGGTTGTCCATTCAGGAAGATTAAGGAGGAGCGGAGGGCCGGGCTGCCATCGGGAGTGGCTGAGCCCTGAGTCACGGTGGTTGACTGTCATCTAATGGAAACACTGCACGTCCGCTGATGGAGTGCTGTGCGCTATTTTTTACTTCAGATGCCATAAGTGTAAATGGCAGGTCTGCGCGTTTCCACTGTGGACCAGACTCACTGTAGTATTTAACGAAAGGGTGCCATAAGAAAATATTCATTAAGTACAATTAATTTTCTTTTATATTGAAAGTGTAATATAAACTGTTACTTCGGAAAGGCCATGTTCAGTGTCACTCTCTGACTCTGTAAAATTCCCCTTTGCAGTAAAGGTCACCTTCAGTTTCTAAAATGTCAACATTTTCTTGGTCTTTGCTGCTTTGTTTAAGTCTTCCTCGTTAGTTTAACGGTCCAGCTCCATTTTTGAATGTTATGTTTCCTTTTCAGCTGATACCTCATTTCTGCTTTTATTTTTGTCCGTGTTGTCTTTTGTCTTCCCGTCTCTCACGTTTTCCCCTATAACTATTCTTGTTGTTTTTCTTAGCAGAGCTACTAAACACCCATGGTCCATCCAAACATATGCCTTCAATAATGCTTGACAATTAAAAACTATAGGGAACAGTAAAACCGGTTGACATACACTGTTCTCATTTATAACGTATTTTACAGACACTAACATTACATAACAGGTGGATTTTCCGTTTCGGTGCAGTTAGCCCAACAACAAGGAACCACTTAGTTTATCCCTTTTTTTTAAACATAAAACGCATTGTTGCAGCCAGGGACAGTATACAAAATGATCCTCTTAGAATGATTTTTGGTTTTAGTCTCATTGATTTATTATTATTGGTTATTGGTTCTGTTTCTAGTTTACTAAGCTAATAATAATGATGACGATAACAACAACAACAACAGTATTAATCTATTAGCCAGCACCAACCAATCCGTTGACATTCTGTACTGACAGAAGATGGCGCTAAACATCTTTTAAAAACTTAACTGTAAACACTTCTTTCTTAAAGCCATCTTCACCAACAGTATTAAAGCTATGACAGTTTTTGAGAGCATGGCTCCATGGTATAATTTAGCCTTTATACGTATAAATACATATACATGTTTCCTGTCCACTTAAACGTTTCCATCATATTTTTTTTATTTAATAATTCATTTTACAAAATATGACATAAAGAAATTTTGCCTCACAGTTACCTATCAGGGGATTATATGTGTAGTAAATAATACAATACACATTTCTTTGCGGGGCTTTTTGACAAACATTCTGATTGTACCACTGCTGTAGTATTTAAAGTGTATGCCTGCAATAAATTATAGCCATTTTTACAAATAACTCTCAAATATTTGTTCAGATGATTCATCAACTGATCTAATATGTGATGGGTATTCTGCAGGTTACTGGATTAAGGGCTCAACCAAGACTCTTTAAATCATGACCAAAAACAAACAGGAAACCTTGTCGCACCATAAACAAATGTGATTTTTTTAAAAAATGTATTTATTTATTTATTTTATTTTAGTACCAATTCAGTAAACAAGAGCACAATCTTGCCAATCATCCTGTGCTACACAGCTGATCTTTCAAATAAATGTTGCTCACACAGTACTGGCATCTTCCATGTCTTCACTCTGTGTGAGAGAAAGAGATACAGATTTATTGACCTTTACTATCCCCCCCCCAACTAACCCTCACTGTAAATACAGCCAGTATATTTTCTTCTCACCTCTGACATTAAGGATGGTGGAGCATTCGTCTCGTCCCAAGCTGTTCTCTGCAATGACGCTGTACTCTCCCATGTCTTTGGGACCCACGCGGAGGATTAACATGGTGCAAACTCCACAGGTGTTGGAGATGTAATAGTTGGTATTAGTGTTTAGACTGATGTGATTTCGATACCATGTTATGCGAGGTTTGGGGTTTCCTTTCACTGCACAGCTCATATAGCATTCATAACCTTTGGGTGCAGTGTGCAGCTTCAGTGGAACAATGAAGGATGGGGCACACCGCAAATCACAGTCCTTCATGGTTGGTACACTTACTAGAAACTTTTCTATGAAAGAGCAGACACAGTATGATCATTTTTTTTCTTAAAAAGAGAGTATTTGGACTTTAAGATTGTTTGAGATGACAAACACACCTTTCTTCTTCTCCACCCCCCAGGTTGGTGACTCAGAGGGTGCAGATATGCCCATGTCGTTTTTGGCATAGACCCGGAAATGATATTCCCTTCCATGCATGATATTGCAGACTGTGAACTTGTTATTGAAGAGCCTGTCAGCCACTGTGACCCACGAACGCTTGGTACAGTCCAGTTTGGACACGGTGTAGTGGAGACGGTCATCACGCTTCTCGTCAGGAGAAGGTTCCCAGATTACTGTCACAGTACCAGACACATTTTCTTCCAGTTCTACTGGTCCAGGCGGTTTTGGATCATCTGCGAACAGTTTTACTTTCATCAGATCCAT